ATCTCCATGTTAGCGATGAGGAAACTGAGGGCAGACACAGCTAAGTAATTTGCTCAAGGTCACAAGGCCAGGGACTGCTATGGTCAAGATATGAAACAGACCTGGCCATCTGACTCCCGAGCCTGCAATGTTGTAATTCATTCTCAGACATCATCAAAAATGCAGTGCATGACAGACTGTCACAGACAGGGAGGAACTCATAATGTTACTGCCCACAAATCAAAAGCATAAATAAAATATTTTAATGATACTACCAAAAGTCTCTTTGCACCTAGAGACATTTTCCCACGTGGCACTTTGAACAGCACCTTTAAAAGAGCATTTCTGTGCTCTAAAACGAATTATTATCCTTGTTGAGATCTGTAGATATAGTAAAAAAAAAAAAAAAAAAAACCCACACTGAACTGTACACTATATAGGGATGAATTGTATGGTAGGTGAAGTATACCTCGTTAAAGCTGTTACTTAAATAGGAGATTATGATAAAGAAAGGCATACTGATAAGTTTGATAAAGACAAAAATTTCATGAAAGACACAAATGACCGAAATTCAGAGAAGACGATGACAAAATCCAAATAGTAAATACAAACTTGAGGTGTGGATGGCTTCACAGTGAATTCTATAAAATAAATAAAAGAGCATTTCTGTTATAAGTGTAACTAATATCAATTATGATTGAAACGCTTAAAAACAGTTAAAATGGTAAATCTTATGTGATGTATATGTGTGTATTTTACAATAATAAAAAAGTACAAAGAGATTATTTCTATATACATTTTTCTCTTTACCAAAAAAAAAAAGTGAAATGATATGAAAGCTGAGGCCCTCTTAAGCCATATATCTGAAGCCTCTTTTACTTAAAAAAAAAAAAAGGCCAAACTAGCAAACCAACAGCAGTAGCAAAGCAGCCCATTTAAAGGTCTGGGAGATACACACTCAGGGCCTTGGCCCTCTGAGATCCTACAAAAACGACTGTGAGCCAGTGCAGCTCCCAGGGTCCTCAAGATCCCTCTAGAACATCCATAAAACCAGTTCTAATCTCTAAACCACAGAACTCTGCACAAACTCAGAGCACAGAGTGAAACGAGAGTGCTCTGGGCTGCTTTCAGGTCTCATTTTAGGAAAAACACTGTTGCTCCTTGAAAACCTGGCCATATGCCCTATTACCTGGGCTTGGGGAAAATGCATCTGAATGGTTAAAAAAAAAAAAATTCACAGGAGAGAAACAAAGTGCCCAGAGTAGCCCTTGGTCAAACTATGGCTAGGATTCCAGGAACCGAATTCTTGCGTTGGCAAGGACCAAAAATTAAATGTATTACTTTTTATAAAAGATTTTATTTTTAAGTAATCTCTAAACCCAACGTGGGGCTTGAACTCACAACCCCAAGATCAAGAGTCACATGCTCCACCGGCCGAGCTAGCCAGGCGCCCCTAAATGGTATTACTTTTAGATCATTCTAAATGACCACTCAGGACAAAATGAATCAACACGGAGAAATCAAGTACAAAACTAAAGAAAGGCTTATCCTGCAAAAAAAACCTAAGAAAAGCAAACATCCTCGGAGGCACAAGTCTATTTAGGGCTTCTGTGAGGAAAACCAGCCAAGATCACAGCCCCCCTACCACAACGATCGGACTCAAGTACAGAAACTGGTATGGCGGTGACTACGGCCCTTTGACAGAAAAGTTCCTTGAGGTGGTTCAGTTCTACTACAGATACCAAAGCCAGCATTTACATGACTCGCTATTCATTCTGCTCCACAAAAAAGGTAACACTGTTAATATCACCAACAAATAAACTAATTTTCCAATTGGCCTATCTTTGGGTACCCCGGGTACTTCTAAAAAAGGAATTGGAGGGTGGGATGGAGGGGAGAGGTGAGGGACAAAGCTTCGCGAGGCTGAAGAGCATAAAGAGGAAAGACGACCTCCCAAGAGCGGCTACTTGCTTAGGAGACAGTAATATCTCAAGTCCACGAAGATAAGAATATCGAGGCTAAAAGGAGTTTAATAATTTCCCAACACTTTCAACCCCTCTCTAAGTATAAAGCTCCCTCCGATCGACTTGACATCATTTCCAGGTCATGCATAAACTTCTGAACTAGATTACCCCTAAGAGCATTACAAATTCTCCATCGATCTTTTACAACACAAGAACAGCAATACAACAGAGGGGAAACCTTTATTTTTAGACTTGCAAAATCCCGTGTTTACTTTTCTAAAACAGAAGTCAAACAACTGAACCTGCTTTGTTTGAATTTTAGTAAACCGATTCTCTCGTAATCCTGAGGCCCCAATCTCTGCCCAGGAGGAAATGAAGAAAAAGTGCTCTGTGCCACGCTGGAAAGTTAAAACACGGCGCCTCCCTTCGTCTTCTGCTCAGGCACATCCGAGCCTCCTGCTGGTCGCAGTTCACACTGCCGGAGCCCCATCATATGACACCTGCCGAATGGAAGGGGGAGGCAGAGGCTCTCCACCCGCATTCGTGTCGAAACTAGTTTGGTGTCTGAACTACTAACTTCTGCGTGTAATGTTTAAGCGAAAGTGGTTCACCATAAGTTCACGTGTAATCACTCAACTAGCATTAAACACGGAATGGAAATGGGCTTGTAATTCCCTGTAAACATTAAGCCCTGGCAAAACCCTATTCCAGCAATCTGATTTGTCAATAACATGGCCTCAGCAAAGACCATCGTTTAGTTGGAAAAATATGAGATAAATTTAAAATGTAGAAAAGCCCTTCCCACAGTGTGAATGTGCAAAACTCGGGGTAGGAGTAATAAGCAGGTGTTTCTGTTCTCAAATTCCTTAGGTAAACTGACCAACCATAATTAGCAATGCCGTTACTGCAAGCAGAAAGAAGCCGTGCAATTAATCACAACACTTAAAAGATTTTTATTCATTAGCTCACAAAACTAGTCAACTCAAAATACTATGCTTTCAAAAGGCAAAGCTTGCATCATAACCCTGATAATTGACAAAATAAGCACATAAATTGATTATAACTAAATTCTGGTGTTCCCGTGATGCCCGGCCCCCTCCACCTTTGTGCTCTCCCAGAACTCACTCTTCACGTCTTATAGAATCGTTTACATAAAGTTGCGGAGTCCTTGAGGGCAGGAACCATTTTTATTAACTTGTATACTACTAACATCTAGCACAATGCTTGGGACATAGGAGGGCCTTAGATTTTGTGCCACAAATAAAAAATAGGGGATCACATGCTATGAAGTATGTAAAAAGAGGTGCAGAGGAAGCCAATGTACTTTGCCTCAGGGAAAGCAAAAGGCTTCTCAAGGAAAACTCCCTCTGGCCTTGGAAGCTGAGAGATTCCCTACAAACATGGGCACTTGGATGAGAGAAGAAAGAGCCTGTGCCCAGACAACGGGGAATGGGAGACCAGATATGTCATAGGACAGCAGAATATTCAGGGTACAATCAACACAAGCAGACTCTGGGAAGGGGCAAAACCAAAAAATTGAAGGGGTTTATATGCCAGGTTAAAGCAGTTTTCACTGGATAGGCTTTGAGAAGCCCGTAAAGTGATTTAATCCAGGCAGTGACACAAAGACACATCCCTTGACAACCCCTGGCCCAAAGTTGTGGAAAGTCTGGGTTTTCAAAGAATTTTATAGAGAGACGTCTATTTTAGATTATTTGAAGTTTTTATATTCTGAGTGACTGTTCTGCCCATCATTTTCTCATATATATGAAATATATGTGTATTTCAGCCTATGCTGTTTCACACAGAAGCAGGGGATACTCATTTAAACGCCTAATGAAATTCTCCTGTTTCAATTTTTTAAAGTGGGGTCTGGAGAATTTTTTTTAAAGAAAAGCAAAAAAATATATATATACATTTAACATAAATATCCTTAATTCCTTTTTCAACACCGTACTTAAAAAGCTGCACCCCATCGCAGCCCCAGTTAGGTTAGAAGTGGAGGGTCCACTTTGCCTGGAGGCTTCCCTAACTAGGTCTAACAAGACTCTGAAAAAGGATGACCCAATAGGAAAGGTTCTAAGTAAAGGGTCAACACAAATCTCTGGGCCTTTCACGTGCTTGGCCCAAGGAAAAGTAATGCCGGCTTCTTGCCGTTGACTTCGCCAGGTTTTTAAAAAATGTAAGATAAGGTGATATTTGTGAGCCGACTAGATGGCATTGAACAGCAGGAAGCAGATCACGGAAAGCCTCGGGTTTCACTCTTGCAGCTCGGCCCTGAACCAGAGGAAAGCACCGGCCCGGTGCAGGGGAGGAGGCCAGGGCGCCTGCTTTTCCCCGGGCGGCCGGGCTGGGCGGCAGGCGGCGCGCCAGGGCACCGAGAGGCGGGTACCGGGGCGCGCCGGGCTGCAAGACGGGCGTGGAGCAGCGGCTGTCAGGGAGGGAGACCAGCATCCTCCCCGGCCTCGGGAAAGAACCCGGCCTCCGCGATTCCTACGTGGCCCCGTTACCCACCGCAAGAGGCTGCTCCCGGGAGGCGGAGGCGCGGAGCTTGAAGAGCAGAGGCCCGGCTGCGCCCCGAGTCCCCCAGGACGCGGCCCCCCCCCCCCGGCGCAGCGCGGGGGCGCTGGAAGCCCAGGGCGGCGCCCCCGCAACCCCACCCCACTCCACTCCACCCGCAGCTGCCTGCCCGCGTGGCCACTCGCCACGGGCTGCGGCCCCACCGCGCCGGTGGAGGGTGATGCGGCGGCGTTGCCAGGTCCCCGGCTCCGCCGCCCCGGCGATCCGGGAGATAAAAGTTTGCAGCATGCGGCTCGTCTGCAGTGCGGGTCACCTCCGCCGCGCCGCCTCCGGCACCCCCAGCCCACAAAAAACAAAAAAAAAAAAAAAAAAAAAAAAAACTGTTGAAGCCGGTAGGCCCCGAAGCCGGCCGCTCTGCCTCCCGGGCGTGCATGCAGGCGAGCCCGGCATCTCGCGCCCCCTCCCGCCCCCGGCCGCGCCTCCCTCCCGGCCTCGGAGCTCGGCCTGGGCCGGCCCCGCCGTGCCCGCCGCACTGACCGATAACCTCCTGCAGTTCGTACGCGTCCCTGCAGATGGGCCAGCCGACGGCCTGCGCCGCCGGGGCCGGGGCCGGGGCCGCGGGCGCTGCCGGGGCCGCCGCTGCTGTCGCGGCCGCGGGCGCCGCCGCCGCCGCTGTCACCGGGGCTGTCTGCTGGGACTGCTGGACGTGCACGGGCGAGCCGCTTGGCTCCGCCATGATGCTGCCGGAGGAGAGCGGGAGGACGAGCCGGTCGGCGAACGACCTTCCACTTGAAACTTCCCTTCCCTCACCACCGACACCTCTCGGCCGGCGCACGCCCTCCCCGCCGCGCCACCGCCGCCGCCGCCGCCGCCGGAGCCAGCCACGAGGGGAGGGAGCGAGGGAGGCCGAGCCGGGCGGAGGGAGGAGGCAGGGCCGGCAGAGGCGGGGTGGGGAGGAGGCGGCGGCCGCCGCGCTCGTCGCGCGCCCCGAACCTCGCGCGCGCAGTTCTCTGCCTCCGCGAGGGGAACCGCCGCCCCGCCGCCCCCTCCCGTTCTGCTCGAGGCCGGGGAAGTTTCCACGCAAGGGGAGCAAGGCGGGTTTGTGTTTGCTTTGAGGGCCCGCGTCCCAGACTGTCAAGCTCTCCAGAAGATGCCCCCTGGGGACCCCGAGGGCGGGGTCGTTGAACCGCCGCCAGGTTCTCAGATTCAGAAGTCGCCCCAGCTAAGGAGAACCTGAAGTTCATTTACAAGTTAGCGAGAGAGACACCTACACGCGGGCCGTTTGTAGGACGCCAGTTAAAAAATAACCCAAGTTGTGACTTTCCTGCACATTACCTGCCAATATCCCTTTCCCACCTTGTCTAATCTAATCTCAGCCCTTCTATTCCCCCCCTCCCCCCGCCGAGTGAAACATGATTCCTTAGGTCCCTGGCTGTTCACAGACTTTTCTTCATTTGTTCCCAGCTGCCTGGATCCCAGGGAAGTGATACAAGAGCCTATGAAGTTAGTATTTTAAAAATGTAAGGGGTTTGGACACTTTATTTCAAATTGTGTTCTTAATAACATGCCACATTAACTCCTTACGACAAAAGATAGGCATTTCTTTTGCAGAGCATACTGCCTCATAAACTGCTGAAAACTTTTGATTAATTGCTGGCTTTTTTTTTTAACACTCCCCAAATTACCTCATCTTTAAAATTGCTAAGGTATAACCATAGGTCTTCCTAATTATATGTGTCATATTTCACGCTGAATGTTCCCTGTGTTCCCTCGGTAGTCATGACCAAGATTACACCATTCTTGTCTTAAGCAGAAATGGTGCAGTGAACCAATGGTCCTATTGGTCATTTTGCCAAAATTATCTTGTGTAGTTTTCATAACAACAACTACTGAATAAATGCATTAGAATAATGAGCATTATTTTAAAAAACTCTAAGAAAGATGTGATACTTAGTCTTCTGCGTTTATACACAAAAATCTCAAGTTTTTTTGAAGACAGGAAACTGAGAAATTCATTAGGAGAAATGTTATATGTCTAATCAAACAGTGATGTAAACTAAAATGAGTGTGCTTAATCTCTTACAGCATTATGGAACAGATGGGGTAAAGCAACTATGGTGCTCTGGTCTATAAGCAGAAATGTATGCTGAACTAAGAAAGTGTACATCTTTTATGCATGGGTGTTCAAAAACTGTGTATTGATTGTAATGTCTGTCAAGAAACAGACAACTTCATGAACAAATAAATTCTAGGCCTCTGATGTTTTCAGTGGGGAGTAACAGGGAATAGGGGACCTCTCCATTTCAAGGGCTGTTCCCCACCCCAAAGAACTTTTAAGGACTGTTTTTAAGGGAAAAGAAAAATGATTATATTGAATATGACCTCCATTTTGTCATATGAATTTATATTTTGAATTTCAAATCATGAAGTGAGACCGCAAAGGCCAGGAAAGTTCTTGGAACTTAATCGGAAAACATGATGCTGTCAGGACCAATAGCACAGATTTGAATCAAACACAGATCACTTCGTTTCCTACAAAGAACAACTGTTCCATAGTCACATACCAGATATCTGTACCCGGCCCACCACTTTCCAAATGGCTACCAGAAAGAGGACTTGCAAAAGCTGATGACTCAGTGTAGACCCATCACTACTACCAGTAAGTGGGTTTAAAGAAGAATGTTTACTATCAGTGGCCTTTAGAATCATTTTTATATCTAAATAACAGAACATTAATTATTTTTTAAATTATAAAAGCATTCATTAGAATTTTAAGTTAATGTTTTCATAAGCAATTGAGTGAAGTGGTACTTAAAACTTAGAAATAAGTGTATTTAAAAAGTATTCAACTGATAGGCAATTTTCTCTGAAAGCCCATTACTAAACTTAAACTGAAAGATGGCAAGGGAGAAAGCCTTTAAAATATAAACAAGCTTTACTTCAATACATAAAGAATACATTCAGTCAGAGACTTTAAAACAGAGAAAAAATAAGAGTCTAAATTTTGTTAAGCTTTTACAACTGCCTCATTATAGGTCAGGGTTTCTTGAGTTCAGCACTTCTGATAATTTGTGCCAGATAATTCTCTGTTCTCCTGACCGCTACTCATTAGATGCAGTAGTACCCCCACTCTCAGTCATGACTACCAAAAATATCTCCAGACATTGCCTCTGAAGAGCAAACTGCTGCCTTAGATAAACTATTTATACAAAATTGTCATCTTATAAACAGCATCGCAGTGGTTCTTTGCTTTACAAAGAGCATCTATAGTATTCAGTTAGTTATTCGTAAATCCTGAAGGGGATCAGAATCTGCGACCCCAAAATATGCCACTTTGGCATAAGAGCTATTCTGAGCTGAAGGCAATTAAGAAACAACAGACACAGGAAGAGCTCTCTGCTCCCCCATATCTGCCTACAAACAGGGCATAAATTTCCCGCTTGTAAATGGAATTTCCATTCATAAAGGAAATTTCCATTTGTAAAGGTGCCCCCTCTTCCATAACAGAAAGAGAAGAATGACTCTTCTTGGGAAATGGCACTGAAATGAGTCTGCATGAACAATCTGTATCTATCCTTAGTTTACCTTACACGCTTCCCAGCCCCCATCCCATAATTTACCCCTGCTAGGAGCCAAACCTCTTTTTTCTTTGTCTAACCACTTCTCCACAATTTATCACCCTTTGTTAAAATGGTATATAAGCCCACCTCTTTGTTTATTCATCACTGAGTACTCGTACATATATGGTCCTTGCACATTCGCAAACTGTTTTTTCCTTTGCTAATCTGTCTTTTGTCAGTTTCAATTCTCAGGCCTCCAGTCACTAAATTTAAGAAGTTAGAGGAAGGTTTTTTTCCTCCTCTACAATCCTTTGAAAATCTAAGAGGTGTGTAGTGTAGTAGCCAAGGTTTTGAAGAAAGTGCCAGAATCAAATCTTGCCCCCACCATTTTTTATCTCTGACTTTGGACTTATTAAACTATGTCTCAATTTCCTCATTCACACCATTAGCATCCTAATAACTTCCTTGTGGGTTGTTACAACATAATTTGTATGTAAGCAGCTCCACTTAATGGCTGACACATAGTACATGCTCAGTAAAAGGAAAACCCTCATCAATGTCATCATCATCATTATCCTTATCTGCCAAGATTTATAACATAATATATAGGAGAAAGAGACATAATAATGGCAATCATGAACTGTACAGAATATAAGCTCCCTGAGGGCAAGAATGTTTGTTCCTTTGGTTCACTGCTGTTTCCCAGTGCCTGGAATAACGCCTAGCATGGAATATACTCAGTAAATATTTGTTGAAGGAATAAAATAACACCTTTTAAATGTATAAAAACATGCTTTTAAACATCAGAATGAGTCAGCTATGTCGAGGGTGGATTACATGGGAGGAAACCGGAGGCGGAGAGACCTACTTGAAAGCCACTGTTATAGTCAAGTTAGAGAAATGTGCATGTGAATAAAGCTCATGATATTGAAGATAATGATGAGGGGGTAGATTTAAGAATTATTTAAGGAGCAGAGAAACAGAACTTGATGACAGATGAGAGTCCTTTAAAAATCAAATTGCCCCAATGCATTAAAAAAAAGTAGATGTACACAAGTACAATTTATAAAATGTTTTAGAAATACGTCTAGTGAAGGAATGGGAGGCTCCTGACTGACAGACGGTCTTTCTCCCATGGCTAACCTGTAATCTGCTGCAAAGTCACTGCCATTGCATGGTGGGAAAAGGCCAGATGTTCTTGGGTGGGAAGAAAAGCTATCACCACATCTTCCATCTCCAACTCTTTCATACTTATGCTTTTAGTAACTGTATTTGAGGGCAAATTGTGGAAGAGCTGGATTTTAATTCAAGCGATTGCTTCTAAAGACAAGGATCCACCGTTTTTGAGTTAGGGTGATGGCAAGGCATAGTAAAAAAAGGGATCGGTTTAAATCAGTAATGGCTGGATTGAAATACTTGCTCTGCACTTACTAGCTGGCAGCTTAAACTCTCTCAGCCTGTTTTCTTAAAGCGAGGACAATCACCCCAGGATGACTGGGTGGCTGGGAGGATGAAATGAGCTGGTATGCGCAACACACCTGACCCACCGCACACACAAGTGGCTGCAAAATTCTGGACTGGGAGAGATCCAGGGTGGGGGGTAGTCTCAGGGGAAGGTAGGTATTATAGGTTGAATTGTGTCCCCTAGAAAGATATGTTGAAGTCCTAAACCCCAATACTTGTGAATATGACCTTATTTGTAAATAGGGTCTTGGCAAACGTAAGCTTAGGTTGGGCCCTATTCCAGTGACTGGTACCCTTCTAAGAAGAGGAAATTTGGACCCAGAGACACAGACACACACAGGGAGAATGCCATGTGATCAGGGAGGCAGAGACTGGAGTGATAGGTCTATAAATCAAGGAATGCCAAAGATTGCCGACAGCAACCAGAAGCTAAGAGAGGGGCATGGAACAGATTCTCCCCTAGAACTTCTAGTAGGAACCAACCTTGATTTTGGACTCCTAGACTTCAGACTGTGAGCGAATACATTTCTGTTATTTTAAGCCACTTGGTGTGTGGTACTTTGTTACAGCAGCCCTGGGGAACTAATATAGCAGGATTACAGGATTTGTTCTTTAGCCAACTGCATGCTATTTGGGCTGACTTTAGCAAAGAGCACTAATGGAAATTAGCCACTCCTTTGGAGCCACCACACTACCAAAAACCTGGACTATACAACTTGCTTTTAATGTAATTTTCAA